TGTAGCTAGGTTCATCACTAGGCGTTAGGAACAGCGACAAAGTTGCTGACTTGGCACTCTCTCTGCTGCTAAAGCTACAGATAGCAAATGCTACAGGCTATGCCTGAGCGTGAACGCGCATGAAGCAGCCTGCTCGACCCGAGCATCTCTCTTTTTCTGTGATTTTACAGAAAAACAGGCAATCACAGTAAAAATGCCAGGGCTCATTCTACAGGACCAGGACATTGCAGGAGAATGTATGAAGAAGACATTTATTATTTCTATACATGTTTTGGCTGTCCAACTTCCATAATGCCCCTTTAAAGATCAGGAGGAAACGTCACATTTGTCTTGTCGTAGCTGCTTGGTAATGGTCCATCAGGGACAAGAAAAAATGATTACATATTGGCTGATTCCACACATTAGCTATCTTTTTGAAGTGTTTCTGGTCCTTAATGCTTGAAACGTACAACTCCCCATTTACACATATGGAATTAATTGCAACATTGGAGCAGGACATTTGTAGAAATGTGGATTAACACTCATTATTCCTTTTAGGAGAAAATGTGAAACTTACATTTAATTTTTTAAAGCAAAATCTTTGTCCAAATGTGATTTGATTTTTGTTCATCTTGTTACAAGGCGCTAAAATCCTGAATGAGAGGAAACAAATTGACAGTTTTTTTCTGTATTCTGCTTTAAACTGGATGATTCAGGATGCTGCATTCTACTGGTCTTTGAAAAGAATTAATGTTTTTGTGGTGAAAACCATTTTAATCACAAACACATTTGGACGGTAAGACAAAATTGTTGCTGGTGTTTTTGTTGTGACTGAACTCAGTTTATTTCTGTTTTTTTTTTTTTTTTTACAGTTCAAAACTTTTAGCCTTGGGTTTTTCCTCTAATTGTCTCATTACTTTTTCCTCCTTCATCAGACGGATCATTGTGTCTCCATGTTGTCTGACGGGAAAAACTATCCCCATAAACAGGCGATCACTCGTTTAAATGAAGGATCAGATCTAAGTTATGAGATTCTTGATGAATGGTCGAATTCCAGCTCCAAAGTTTACTCCGGCCCTTCTACCTTTTCCCCTTTTAGAAATTGTGAATAATATTTCACTAGAAATACCAGAAATGTCACCAACACGGGTGACACCAAATAAACTGTAATCTGTTGCATCCCTCCGGCTCTTAATTGACCTTTTGTTCAGTGGTCCTTTTACTTTCACCTTTATTTCTCAATCGAAGTGAAATAAAGTCAAGATCTTGGTGCAAAAAAAAACAAAAGGCCATTCTTATTCATTAGTGCTGTCGGCTGTCGTTGCTTCCAAAGGGCCTGCCTGTGGCTGCAGTCGACATCTGTTGGTGTAACATAACGTTCAGGGCTTCGACTGGCAACAGGAACTGATTTATAAGGTTCTCTTTTTAAGTGGCTGTCTTAAGGTAATTATAAACTGGTGGGGGAGTTCCTGCTAATTGCACCTTCCCTGATCTGTAATGAAGGCCAAGCAGCATGAATGCGCCCATCCAGTGTGTCTCAGGCAGTGGAGGAGTGAGGGCAGCTGAGCTTGACCAGTTAGTGTTGGTTTAGCTCTGGGCTGGAGCGCCTCACCTGCTGTTCTGCCTCGCTTTCAGCCAATTTCTCTTGAGTAATTAACTGTGAAGCCACATATGGCGTGATGGTGGAAAATCTGATCGCTAGTGGATGCCGAAGAGTCAAAGAGAAGACAAGCGGGATGCAGAAACCCTGTGGTGGCCAAAGCTCCCAAACACTCGGCGTTGAGCATAAATGGAATGACTGGAAAATTCTTTTGACATGCACAATTAAAAACAAATGTTGTTTCCACATGACATAAATGAGTGTAATTAATCACTGAACAAATGAATTATTAGGAGGATTAGAAAATGAGGTAGATTAAGTACACCAATGAGGCTTGAATTATTAACAGTATTTGTATCGGTTGATTAGGATGTTCTACAAAGAGAGCACATTCTGCTAACAGATGACAACATGATTAGGGTTTCACATACATGATGCATGGGAAGAATCATGCAGCAAATGAATAAAAATGTTTCCAAAAGTTGGAGCTGCTATGTTACCTCACATGTCTACTTTGTCAAAACATGCATTTTAAAAGTGATGTGCTCAACTAAAAGCTGCAGCTGGAGATGTTTTGGTTTTATTTCAGACACTTTGAGCCTCCGCAGCATCCTGAAACCTGAAAAAAGGGGCAACAGATGTTCTTAACAAACATTGTGTAACAAAGTTTCTTGGTGGAGTCAGATGAAGTGCAGTGCTTTAAAGGTACAATGGTAAGGTTTCCACAGTGGAACAAACACAAAACATTCTAATGTCTCACTCTTGTTGGAAGGAAGGTTACATTGAAATGGATTTCTTTCTTAGTCGACTGGGGGGTTGGCAGTTTTCTCTTTTGAAAAAACAAAAGAAGGACGTAGTCTTTGTTTACAACGAGGTCCTCAACTAAATTTGTTCAAGGGCCGGAGTTTTTTCCAGCAGACAGGGCCAGATTATTTTCTAAAATAAAGTTCAAGAATAGTTTTATCTTAATTTAATACTATTTAAAATAGCTTTGTTTTCCATTTAAACTGTTTTTGATTGTAGTTTTAGTTGTTTGGAGAACGTTAAAACTTTTGGATATTTGGGACAAGAATTTTGCTGCTAAACTGCCAAGTACCCAAATCGAGGGGCGTTAGAGCCCCAAGGGCTAGGGTGGGGGGCAAGTGGAAAGGTCTGATGGGCCCGATGTGGCCTGCAGGCCGCCAGTTGAGGTTCACTGGTTTACAATGTGTGAGCCTCCAAGGTTGCTGGATCTACACCAGCTGACACTGTAGCGTTGCATTTGTAATTTGATATTGGCAGACAAAAAGCTCCTGAGGGGTTTAAAGAACCAAAGCCAGTAAACCAGAGCGACCCAGAAGTTAGTTCTTGAACCCTAAGAAGCTGCAGCATCTTTTTTAACATTTGGTGAAGAGGCTAGAAGTTAATGTTGAGCTAACAATGCTAACGGTGAATTTGAATCAAATAGTCAGTGCTAAAATATCTCAAGCTACTTTTTCAATCACCAACAACTCAATATTACAGTGAATGTATTTATTTATTAACTGGCTGTGTCATCTTCACTCATCATCTAGAATCTTCTGGTGCTGATCCATAACTGGCAACAATCATGGAAGTCACAAACCAGAGCGAGGCGGCCGATGAGAGCAAAGTGTTTTTGTTTTGAAACATAAACTGCGGTACTTGAATTTGACCACAGGATGTCATTCTTCTTCATGCACCTTGAGAATAATCAGCTGCACATTGTGTCCCCATATCTGATCACAATGAATGTTGAGGTTAAGAAGCTGAAAAGCTTCTTAACTTTCATGTTTTGAACACAGTTTTCAAAAAATTTAAAAAAATCATGGCTGAGCAGAGGTAGTCTGTTGGAAGTTAACTGCCAGGGCAGTGGCAGTCATCGCGTCATCAGTCTAATTTACTGTCCATTGTGGTATGAATGGTCAAAGATTGGTGATGATAAATACACTAATTGGGTCCATTTGTTTTTGTCATTTTCCATAAAAGATGTAAAATCAGTTATTTTTATAGAAAAGATGGTGCATGAACCAGTTTTACAGCAGAAAGCACATTAATGCACATGATGCCTCCAGAGTATGGTGTAAAGAGGTTGTTGTGGAGTATTTTGGTCTAACTGGTATAGACATAAAAGCTCGGTGTCCTGGATGAAAGCCTTGTGTCTGAACCAACACCCTCCACCTCTAAATGTTGACTTTGTTGCTGCTCTGAACCGCTCTGCATCTGCAAACACTGTCGTTTTGGGAGTCATTGGCAAATTGATCCCTACTTTTGTGTGTTTTGTTTTTCCCTTTCCACACATTAAATTCTTGCACAGCACCAAAGTCACAAAGAGGTTGTTGAGACTTTGACTTGAGACAGTATTTAAACCCCCCAGTGCTCATTTCGGGCTCCTAAAACAACATGGAACCAGTGAAAGAACGTTCTGCAGAAGTCACTATCAACTTTCTGCTGTCATCAATAACTGTATGAATATTTAATCAAGATTCAAATTCTTCCTTAATTATAACAAAGTGATGTGAATTGCCTAAACTGACAGCCATGAGACATTAGAAACGAGTGAAGAATGAGATTCCTGTTTCCACGAGCAGATGTTGGGTGAACTAAATAGATGTGCTCTTATTTAACATTCTTCACTTTCCACTCTTAGCAGATACATTTACATACATAACATGTAAAATACATTACCTATGTCTGATTGGTTGTTTAGCTAAAAAATATCAGTGACCTATAATTTATACATGCAGAAGTCTGGGATCACATGGATTTATTTTTGTGAATCTGTGGAAACACAATAATCTATAAAATTAATATCAGGATTACAAAATGTGAATATTTTCTTAAAATTCTCTCATAAGAAAATCCACCTTTGGTTGGCCTCAGGCCAGCAGTTCTCAAATTCCAGACCATACATTCAGAACATCAAGTCTACCTAGACATTGACACAATTAAGTATTGTTGTCCCTAAATATCCTTTAAGTTTGCCAATTATTGTTTGTTTGGTGAAATTTAATATTTTAGAAAGTAAGTGCCCTGTATTTACATAGCACCTCCTAGAGTCCTACAATCCCCCAAGGTGCTTTACAGTCAGTCATTCACCCACGCACACACACATTCACACACTTGTGGTGAGCTAAGCTGTAGCCACAGCTGCCCTGGGGAACCCTGCAGAAGCAGGGCTGTGCAGAGACCTTTGAAGGGGCGGGTGCTCAAATTTAAAAAGGGGCACACAGAATAATATTTTCAAACACCATGACATAACCACAGTATACTCAGCTGAATAACAAATCATATTTATTAGAAATTCAAAATGGAAGCGAATCATTATATACACCATAAGGACAATGTAAAGCAAAAGTAACTTGTTTAGGTAAATGGTCTGTATTTGTATAATGCTGTTGGGGTTATTAGGAGCGAACAATTCGTAAGCTTTAACTTACTTTTGGATTCTTCAATAAATTCTGTAAATATGGGAATATTTACTGATTTATTAATTAATTAAGATATTCTTAGATATACGGGGCACCATTCCCCTTTAACCGGGGAAAAATTGAATCCAAAACTCTTATCAGTCTTTCTTGAAGTTCGTAGAATCCTTGGAGCAGAGACTTCTCTTCGACACAACAAAGCTACTGGAGACGAAAATCTGAATTTTATAACGCTTAATTAACAATTTGTCAAATGAATAAACAGTGGCATAAATGAATAATAACCATGTGATATAATAAAAGGATGTATATTCAAAATAATGTTCAAGGTGTTTGTGTGGTGTGTGTGAGTGAGTGTGTGTGTGTGTGTGTGTGTGTGTGAGATGAATGGGTCTTTGTTTCCCCAGAGTAGGTGGGGGGAGTGAGCTGTGAGTGTGTGTGGGGCTCTTCCCCTCCCCTCGCATTCAACAGGAGACCTGGATGTGTAAAGTTTTCTACTTTCCCGAACACTTAGTGGCTTGGAATCACAGTAAAACTTAACTCAAACACTTCAAAAGTTAACAAACAACAAAAGGTCACTTGTAAATTATTTAATCTAAAAGGAGTCGGCAGCCTGGCCAGAGCTGACGACTAAAGATATTAGCGATGATCAATAAGCAGTTTATTCTTTCAAAATGACCCGGCGGACGTGTTTTGGGAGCGAAAGAGGAAAACACGAAGCTACTTTTTAAGCAATAGCGCGGTTTTATTGCTTATTCTGGACTATAGAGGAAACGGGAGGAGAAAAGGAGAGAGAAAAATGAGTTTTCTGATCACCAGAAGAGCGAGGCGTCCCTCACTGTTTTGATTTGACGGTTCTCCGTGTTTCTCCGCAGTTTTCAGCGTCATCCGTCGGTTTGATGCTTTCTCCGTTGTTTGGCTCCACGAGTGTTTCTCCACGGGCTGGACACAAAGAGAACGAAGTTTCTTTTGGGCTGAGTTTGACAACTTACAGCGTCTCTGAGAGCTGGATGGAGCTCCGCTCGTTCCCAGTCAGGTCCTGATGGAGTTGGAGTGTAGTTTCCAGCGGTTGCGTGGCTCAGCTTGGGCACTTAGAGCTTCCGCGTGCTCAAGTTGTCGGAGCGTTCGACAAGCGTGTCCTTACCGCCAGGTATCCTGGGCAAAAGAACGAGGTTCCTTTGTCTTTGCTGAAGATTTATGGTCTTAGTTTGCGGGAAAAGTTCCATGGCCTCCCGCACATGCGCAGAACGTGTTTCTGGTATTAGGCGGTGACATCATCACAATGCTTCGGTGTGCAAAGCATCATGGGAAATGAAGTTTCTTGGCGCTGATGTGATTATTTGCTTTTCAGAGCAATTTAAGCACAGTCATTTTGGAGAAAATCACTGCATAGTAATTTCCTCATGAGGTCAGACCCTCAACAATGCCTTCTTAGGGTTCTACAGCCCCCCAAGGCACATTACAACACAATCAGTCATTCACACACACACATTAACACACTGATGGTGATGAGCTATGATGTAGCCATAGCTGCTCTGGAGCGCACTGACAGAGGTGAAGCTGCTGAGCACAGGCGCCACCGGTCCCTCCGACCCCCACCAGCAGGCAAAGCAGGTTAAGTGTCTTGCCCAAGGACTCAACAGCATCAATCTCTGATTGAAGTCAGGCTCAAACCTGCAACCTTCTTATTACTGGACAACCTGCTCCACCTCCTGATCTATTGCTGTCCTATTTTACCTGATGATGGGGTACAGTGTAGCTGTTGCAGGGTCGCTCCTCTTGCTGCTGCTGATGATGCTGGAGGGCAAGGCTGTGTTGATCTCAGACTGTAGGTAGTAAAACGAACAGAGGAGAAATGTTAGTCAATTACAAAATTTATGTAAGATCATAAAAAAATGGCAAAAATTGGTGAAAACTCTTAGAACTGTAAGACAGATATATCTGAGACAACACCTGTGGTAAATAAATGGAAATCTAAATATTAGTGGATAATAGAGGAGTTTATGTCAGAGATAAGAATGTGACAGAAATATAAACAGAAAGAGTTGTGTGTGTCTTCAGTCTCCTCGTGTGATCTATCACTCTCCACTTGCTGTCCATCTGAGAACAAGGCAAAATTAGCTATTGTATGAATGAATTATGTAGTTATTCACATTTAACAGGTCTTGCACCTAATCCATGATCAAGAGGCTAACAAAAAACATTTTCTGGCATCAAAACATTGCAGTTGTGTATATTATTGTTTCTACACTTGTTGCTGTGATGCAACTTACCTGTACTCTTTTTTTTTATCCAGCTGGTGAGGGACCCACTGCCTTTAGCTGCCTCATGTAGCTCTTTCTGTCGCTGCTTCCTCCTCCTGTCCTTACGAAGCATGTCTGTACAATGATATATCATAATTGATTTACAAATATTTTTTCATGCTTATAAAACTCATGCATACACATTCTGGGACATTTCATTCCTTTTCCAGAAAACTAACTGTATATAATTTGGCCACAAATTTGCTTCATGATGCTGATCCAGAATATGTCCATACTATTTTAATCATAGTGCTTTAGTAATTATAATAAAAATAAAGAATAAAACAATGTTTATGCTTTCATTCAGTTTTACTATCTACTTTGTGCAAAACAGAGAACTGTACAGATAAAATAATTTTGCTGTGAAAACAGTTTTTTTTAAATGTACATCTTTAAAACATAATGTTTTTAATACAATGCATTCAAAAAGAGAGCAAATATAAACTCCAACATTTTGAGAATATGCATAGTATTAGTGAACTAAAAAACCCACCAGAAGGGCTGAGAAACCTTAACATCTAAAACAAAACTATGTTCCCTAAAACGCTGGACAGAATTAACAAACAAGGACTGAATATTTAGTAACACAAAACTTGTGACGGATGTTACCTTTAGTATTTTTCTTATTTCCTTTCACAAAAGGTAGCTAAATTTTAAATTTGTTCAAGTTTTATTAGTCCGCGAACCAGGAAGTGATTTTGTAAACAAGAAGCAGGGCTGTGTGAGACCCTAGTCACGTGACACGCAGCAGCGATAGGAATGCAACTTTGCGGTACCTAGTTAACAACAATGACATTTTATTGGCAAATTCCCAATACTTAAGATTGAAAAAATATTTTCGTACAAGTACTTATGTACAGAATGTTTCTGGTTAATCCTAAAGTTACTGAGGTTCAGAATCGGTACCCAGCCACAGACACACACCCAGCTAGTAATATATCACACACCTAGTGCCACAAAACAACTTAATAATGTACAAAATAATCTAAGAACCGTGTATAGTAGTGTGCATCCTACTTACCGGTGTTAGTCCGTTTCTCCCAATCAATATGTATGTCCTAAAAGCTTTGCACCACTCGCTCGGCCATGAAGAAAATGTGGGTGCTTGCTTGCAGCTTGTTGTGACCGGCTGTGCGCTCTGGCGTGAGGAAGAGACGGAATGGTCACGTGACGGTATGGTCACGTGACTCACGCCAGCTATATAACATTAAACAGAAATTTTATTAATGATTATTTTTGTTATTCTTGAGGGGGCACAAACAGAAAATTCTTTAAAAAAAATAAAAATAAATATATATAAAAAAAATCATTAAACCTCAAAAAGGGCACTTTGGGCACATGGGAGAAAAGGGGCAGGGTCTCAAGCACCCTCCGCCCCCCCCTCTGCACGTGCCTGTGCAGAAGTAAGGCCGCCAAACACCGGCGCCACCAACCAGCAGGCATGGAGTGTGAAGTGTCTTCTCCAAGACTCAACTACAACACAGGGCTCGAACCTGCAACCTTCTGGTTACGGGGCAAGCACTTAACTCCTCGTCTACCACTGCTCTGATAGATTTAGCAGGATTCTTGGTTCAGATTCTGATCTGAGGTTGAGTGCGAGGTGCCGGTGCATCAAAGAAACAGTGTTGATTAGAACTAATGATTTTAAATCTTATTCTGGTGTTGTTGACTTTTGAACTGAAAGTTTAGGAACCCCCTTCCTTACATGTTCTAGTTTTTTTCAAGGTAATCTGATGAGATTTCACCACTATCTACTGCTGGTTGGAAAGTGCAGTTTCTAAAACCCTGTCCTCTACAATGAAATAAATACTCGAAACAAAAAAAAAGTTTTCGACGCATTTTTTCTTGCTGTTGAAGTTTTATGATTCATATTGTTCTTGCTTGCTGTTTTTCCACGTTTAAGTTACGTGATGCTAATGCATATTGTGTGCAGTTGAGCTAACGGGACTTGCCCTTTCTTTCCACTGCATGTGAAGGCGTCACAAAATGGCTGCAAAACTTATTACACGACAATTAGTCATTGCTATAGTAGATGAGGTCCTTCCCACCAGCAGCAAAGTGTAACGCTTTTGACGTGCCCTGAAATCGAGGGGACACTACCATTACGTCAAGTCTATTGCTTTCAAAACACATCAAACTCTGCAGTTTAGAGCGTGCCAGACAAGACGTTAATCACAAAAGCAGTGTAAAACATCCAGAAACTTTCATAATAAAAGTCACATGCCTAAATGTAGGTCATTTCCTGTTATAACCCCCGTAGCTAACCTCTTCTCTTTGCTTATCATTATTATGTATGGACTTCTGAAATCACGCGTGGTGTTGCCAGGGGTTACAGCCCAACTTCATGATTGCTGAGATTCTACTGGCAAAAATAAAATTTGGTCCATGGGATTTTCAGTTCTCCTTTTAATATCAAAAATAAAGGTTTTCTTTCTTTAGGGCTTTTTACAAGACACACCATGCCGGCAAATCAGCGTAATACTACTGCACTGGTGTGTCTTATAAACGCGCCATGCTGGCTTGGTGATGCACGAATTATGCGCATTCGTTCCGCCTCGTTTGGTAGTAACATCGCGATAATTGACTGACTCATAAACGGCGACTGCGCCTTGGCGCAACAGAGGGAGGTGTCGTGATCAAACCAGCTGAGATGTTAAACTAAAGCAATGCAGCTCTCCTGGAGCTTCTCTCCATTAGAGCTGGAGGTCAGATCACCAGAGACTGCAAAGAGACTGTGGAGGACAGATTCCTTTAGGAGCAGCTTGTTAAAAAAAAAAAAAAACGTAGTAAGCACAGCTTAGATCGTAATTCAAATAAGTCATGTCCAAGTTAAACGGACGTCCGTAGAGCTGCGGAGACCTCCCCCATACCCCCTTTATGCCGCCATTGCCTAATCTTTTGTAAAAAGAACATTGTACCACATTACCACCGTGGTTTGACCACTTATAAAGGACCTAAGGCTCCCTGATGCCGCCACGGCGTTGAGGCAAATTGATGGCATTGTTTTGTAAAAATGGCTTTTTACTCTTAAGAATTGACTTGAATAAATAATAACTCTATAGAAAAAATCCTTTATTTTTGTTCTCTGGTTTGATATTAAATGATGACTGAAGTATAATATTACATAGTTTAAATCAACTTGTGTGGCGATAAATGATTAAAGCAGTAGTTGAGGTTGTGTTTAAGTGCCGACTCACTGAGAAAAGAGTTTCTATCGAGTGAGTGACACAAAAGAAAGATTAGAGGATCAAGTGGTGAAAGATGAGAGAGGAATCCAGTGGAATTGACAGCAAATTCAAGGGTTTCCAAGAGGAAGAGAAGACAAGAGACAGGGTGATAATTTTAAAGATTTGAAGGGTCAAGATTGAGCTGGCTGATAATAAGCGGAGTGAAATGAACCAAATCAGAAAATATGAGCTGACGCGGGTGTCGTCTGACTGTGGCGGTCTCAGACAACCGTCAGACACCTCCAGGGCCTGCAGCTCAGTGTTTATGCATGGATCAGAGTCAAGACTGCTCCAGGTCTCATGCACGCTTCTGGTTCTTCGCAATGTGTGAAGGACCAATAAAGAATTGGGATTTCTCATGGATGTAATTAGCCAATCATTTCTAATAGTGTCCATAGCAATGCATTTCATGGTAGTGCCATCTTACTCCAGGCAATGTGCCTTGAAGTGTAATTTCTGCCTGAGCATTTCGACGCAGAGCTATCGATTGCATTCAGTGAATGATCTTCTCAGAAACCCATCATCTGCTTTAATAATGTCAGTCTCCAGCACATTCTCCCTGCTTGGTTTCCATTAATATCCAGCCTACGTGACATAGTCAACATTCAGCGTTCAGACAACAGGCTCTTCGAAGCATAGTTCGTTTGCATCTGGGTCATTTAATCAATTTATACAACTGAACCTCTTTCACATATTGATATGCAGTTACCCTGGAATGTGTGTGGCCTTTCATCCCCCCCCCCCCCCCCCCCCCCCCCCCCCGAGTGAAGCAAACTCCAGGGGAGCTTTCAAGATCTTCCGCCGTTATTTATCATGTGACATTTAGCCAGGCCCTGATGGCAACAGCTCTCCTTTTTAATTAGAGGTTCAACCTCTTCACTGGATGACAAATTGACTGGGTTTTACCTTAGAAAAGTGGAGGAGCATGTCTGGTTCATGGGGCTCCTCCCTGATGGAGGGCTAACGTTGAGGAGGAGGACGTGTGGCGGGAGGGCGTCATTTTAGCCGGCTGGAAAATTTCCAGGACTGTCGGTGAAACGTTTTGCTCCATTTTTAGTTCTGTGGGTTTAAAATCATTAGAAAGCCAGAAATAAAGAGTTGACCGTAAGTTTTCTTGGAGTAGCTAATTTTAAACCCAGTTTCCTCTTTTTGTGATACTTTTAGTTTCCTTGTGACCTTCTGTTTGTACAGATGCAGGATCTGGAGCTTGGTCGGCAGCGGCAAATGGCTAATGGCCCATCCCCCGGTTATTTTACGGCAGGCTGGAGAATGTGTCCACTTTGCATGGTTCCCTTCTTCCATTTTTCAAACTTCGCCTGAGTTCGGGGTGACACAGCTTGAAACGGGTATCGGGAGAAGCAGCAACACAAATGGAAGAGCAGACCCAGATGATACAATCACTTTGTTCAGCATGAACACTTCCGCAAACATGTTGGGGTGGAGGGGGGTTTCTGCAGGGCAGGCGCCAAGGCTTCTGTGTAAGATGAGACGGTGTAAACAGGCAGATTGGCTCTCTTCACAGCTTTGGCTCCTTGAGATTTCATGCTAGCTGGATTTATAGAGAGTCACAGTGCAGTGAAATGTGCCTTGGGCTCCTCCGGGGCCCGTCTCACAGAAGCTGCAGAGCTGTGAACCTCAGATGATAAACCGAGTATAAATCTATAAAAAGGGAGAGAAAATATTACATTTTATATTCTCCAAATTCAAGGCTCATCATGTTCATGTGACTCACTCAGGAGATGTTCCTCTGGCCTTTTGTTTATTGTATACCTACACATAAAAGTTTTATTGTTAATTAAAATTTGAGAAATAATTATAATTCAACTGAGTCTCATTACACTTTGGTTAGAAATCTGCATTTAAATATTGAACAATGAAACAAGCAAAACGTTATGTATCGGACATTTTGTGAAATAATTAATAAAAAGCGTTAAAGTAAATCATAAATGTACAGATTGGAACTTGTCATCTCAGTATCGGTATTTAGAAAGTCATTTGCTTTACCTTTTCACCTGATTTTCTTTGTACTTGATCATCTCTGGCATGTTTTATGTCTAAATAGATGTTTTTAATCTGTGTATTTCTTGGTTTTCCTCCATGCTTTATTACTTGTTGTGCTTTCTGTTAGGAAAACGCTTTTGTTTATGGTTGATTGGTTATTGCATGTTGATTATTTTTTTACTTGGTAACATTTGGGGCGTAGTGACTCTAAATGTGAGGTTTGAGATGCTAACTTTTTTTATTCCACTATTGTTCAATATCTTTTTCTGTTTTTTTTTATTTTCCTGCATGAAACCTTTTTTTTCTTATGAGTTGTCCCCAGTTTTTGTGCAATGTATCGTGTTTTGCCTAAGCAGCATCCGGATCAGCATTTGAGATTACATTAGTTGTGTGTGTTTTGGCATAATTCAACAGGCGTTTGTTGTCCATTAAAAGGATGGCTTGTTTTTCAGAAGAGTCTTCCTCGTCTGTCTGCTTATCAATCACCATTCAATTATTGCAGAAATGGATCCAGTGAGACAAACAGGGAAACATTTCTCGTGAAACGTCCGGAACATCAAGGTAACTCCAAACATCTCCGTGTGCTCAAACAGCAGCCCTCCTCACAGATGAAACAAGACAACTTTTTCATGTGGCGCAAATCATGCAACTAAATGCATAGCATATAATATAAGTATGACACATCGTAATACCAGTGTAATTATGCACTTTATTTCTGTTAATATTACATTATCGTATTATTAATTATAGCATATTAGTAAAAAGAATATGTTAACACACTTTCCATGGAAGTCCATGGATACAGTTAAAGGTGTGGTTCACTGAAATAACTTTTTAAATGATTATTTCTGATTATAATTGATCACTGCGAGTTTTCATGCAGGCTGAACATGAAAATAGTCTCCTACACCTATCTGCTGATTAGCTTCTGATAGAAAATAGATGTGAAACTCTAGGATTCGAAACTCCTGACAGATCTACGTCACACTTAACATTCATGGAATCACTCATCTTGACTCACGACGGGGAAGGCTGTTGTTGGTTTACCATCA